GGGTTTCTCTCTCCCTTTGCCCCTCCCCACCCCTCTCGGAAGGAAAGCAGGCAGACTTAGAAGTGAAAAAAGAAGCTACAGAAATACTTCATAGAGAGATAAGAAGACCAGAGAGAAAACGTATGCAGTAAGATTAAAAAAAACTCTCAAGATTACTAAAGAGAATCATTAACAATAATGCACTCACATTTCCCTAGAACTTACATTAATATATAATCATATCTTCCATGGGAAAAAGGGAGTAAAAAAAGTTTCTATTTACATACCTTACAAATGTGCTGCAAGACCCACGGGCTGTGTGGCAGAAGTTCTACAAGTGCCTTGAACTTCTCAGATGTAGGCACTATAAAAATATAAATATATCAGGAATTATGTCTATTCATTTTACAAGGAACAACACAAAACATAGGATGTAAACAGGCTTGCCCAAAGTTCCAAGACATAATTTAGAATCCAAGAGAGGGAAAAAGTGTAGAATTTAACTTCTGACTAATATACCACCAAATTTATCACATTTATACAAGCTTAGCCTCCTTCAGTTAATATTCACAACCAATGTTATATTATTTTTTAATACAATATTTGTTTTTTTTTTAATTTTTTTATTTACTTATGATAGTCACAGAGAGAGAGAGAGAGAGAGAGAGAGAGAGAGAGACACAGACACAGGCAGAGGGAGAAGCAGGCTCCATGCACCGGGAGCCCGACGTGGGACTCGATCCCGGGTCTCCAGGATCGCGCCCTGGGCCAAAGGCAGGCGCTAAACCGCTGCGCCACCCAGGGATCCCTGAATATTATTTTCTAAATATTTCCCTTTTAAAAGCAAATGAATCCTATGTAAATTAATTTTCCAACATTATAAAACTTTTCAAACATACAGCTAAATTAAAGGAATCTTACAATGAACACCTGTAACCTACCACCTAGACTACCACAAACATCTGAATAACTTGCTTTAATTATACATTCTTATTAATACAGGCATTACAGAGAAATTACAAACTGAAAGGCAACTGTCAGAAAATCAAAAATCAGGGTGAAGTCATTAGGTCAAGGAAAATAGTATTAGGAAATGCTTATAATGTTTTTGTCAGAAATGATCAATATTACTTTACTATTTAAAGTCAGAATGAGGGACACCTGGGTGGCTCAGTGGTTAAGCGTCTGCCTTGTGCCCAGGGTGTGATCCTGGAGTCCTGGGATCGAGTTCCACATTGGGTTCCCTGTATGTAGCCTGCTTCTCTCTCTGCCTATTTCTCTCTCTCCCTCTCGAATAAATAAAAATCTTTGGAGAAAAAAAATAAAGTCAGAATGAACTCAGATCTACCCCTACTCTTGGTGAGTGATTCTAGTTATTTAACATCAGATCAAATTATTCTCCTGCTAAAAAACATCTAATGATTTCTCATCTCAGAATAATCCTAAAGAACTTCCCATATCCTAAAGGCCCGACATGATCTGGTTCCTACCCACCTCTCTAATTTCATTTTACATTCCACTTCTCCCTTTACTCCACTCCAAATATTTTGGTCACTTATGTTCTCCTTTTTACCTTCACCTGAATAGTGAGACACTATTATAAACATTCTTTAACATATTTACTTTACCCACTCTCTTCATTAAAAACAAAACAAGCTCATTTTGGGACAAACTGCAAACCGGCTGCAATATAACTGAGTGTATCTCGTATTTTGAACACTTTAACTATAAAATATTATTCACAATCCTCTGGAGGAAGCACCAATAAATTCAGACCAACACCCAGAATGAGCAGCTTCGACGGCTGATTTTTCTGTCACATGACTACCATAATTATGAGTATACAGGGCCTTCACATAATACTACAGCACCACAGATCAAAAATGAGTCATTTGAAATAGAAACTTGAAATAAGAATTTTACAGTAATTATTAACTTCAAACTGTCTTGGAAATTTTAATTTATTAATCTCACAAGTACTTAACAGTGAGCATATCCCCAAAGAGCACAGTATAGTAAGACACATTAACACATGCTTAAAATTTAGTTACATTAATATGCAGATGCAAACAAAGTTCCTCTAGCCAGGGACATAAAAGACTAAACTAAGTGCTACGGGAAGGTAAAATAACTTTTAAGTACCTTTTAAAGTACAAATATATGTGATTAAAATCCAGTGATTATGTACCATTTATCATTATCACTAGCAGCGAAATGCAATTAAACCCAAAGTGCTGTCTAGAGAAGCTCAGCAAGCCCAAATTAGTTCTCTTAGAAGCTGAAGTATCAGTCTGTCTTCTGAGAGTTAACATAAATCTCTCAGCTCTAGAACTAAAACAACCCAAAGTAGCAACTCCTCCTGTCACAGCTTGAATTCCACCTCAGTATCTACCTGTTTTCACTCTCCTAAGAACAATCAGGACAATGAGAATACGTTAAAACTACTGCCACACATACACAGAACTATTTACTTAATATGTGCAGTTTCTTACCATCCCACCTCAAATTAATAGGCAAAAGAGCCCTCAGTCACATTAGAACATCTTGGTCTGACCTAATTATGTTGGGCTTTGGAGCAGGGGAGTCTGGGCCTCACATTGGAAGAAGTTGTTCCCTCAAGAGGACCCAAACACCCCTGGGTGGTACACTCAGTCGAGCATCAGACTCTTGGTTTCGGCTCAGATCATGATCTCCAGGTTGTGAGATTCGGCCCAAAGTTGGCCTCGGAGCTCAGGGAGGAGTCAGCTAGGGTTTCTCTCTCTTCCTCAAAACCTCCCCATGCTCGTGCTCTCTCTCAAATGGTTAAATAAATCTCTAAAAAAAACAAACAAGCGAACAAAAACCCCAAAACACCTAAAGCTAAAACTAGGCCAGGCACTCTGTATATTCATTTATGTATTTCAATCAACTGCTGTAGGACCATCCAGTTCCAGGGAGGAGAGCGCAGTGAAAGCTAAAGAACTGAGTTTGTTTAGAAATGAATTTTTCAGGTTCTCAAAACATATATAAAATCAGTAATATGTAAAAGAAGAAAATACTGGAAATAAGTCCTGAATTTTTCCTTAACTCTAAGGAAGTTGTTTCAGAGTACAAGAATACCTCAGAGTTCTGGCCTGCACCTGACCAGAAAAATGACCTTAGGAAATTTATGTAAGTCTCTGAGACTCAGTTTCCTCATCTGCAAATAGGGTTGGACCATAAGTCCTGAAGATACCTTTGGATCTAAAATTCTAGATCTATGAAAAAGTCAGTGGATTTCTATTCTCTTCTTCCCTCCAGTACAAATTTTTTATAAGAAAAGAAGCCATAACTCTAAGCCTAGAATCTGACTCAAAGCGAGTTTTCTTCTACTTTGTTAGGTTCCCAGGGGCCACCACTCATCTACAAAAGTAGATGGAACTACTATAAAAACAATTTATCAAAAGATCTTTAAGTTTTCCTTCACAATCAAGAATTAGTCTTGTACTTTCAGGCCAAACAATGTCACGCCCAACGCTCATACCAGTATCTCTACCAATTTAGCCATGTCTAAAGTGACAATCATGTAATGGTACATATATGTACCATTTTCAACCACTGAGTGGTTGAAAAATTAAATGACTGAAAAATTCTCACCACATATAACATTTTAAAGAATTTTAAGTATTTTTCCCCTTCAGATCTGGCAGGGAGGGCTATAAAATGCATACCTGAAAAAAACATTTACTTCAAAGACAAACACCAAAAGAAGGAAACATATCACAAATACTGGTAAAAACTTTAAATCAGGACCATTAAAAAAACACAAGTGGAAAAAACACTGTGGTAAAAAAGGATACCAATTTTCCACCATAAACTACTGCACATTGTCTTGACCAAATCGATTTGAGGGCAAACAGTGCTATTTAATAAAGACAGCTTGTAACTGGGTTCAATCGGTAACTAAGGACAGATGTTTAGGGGATTCCAATCAAGGTAATAACTTAGACTAAGCAAAGTCGCAAATTAATACTCTATTTCAATGCAATAGAGTTTAAATCATGAAAAAGTGCTTTCAACTGGAAAATTCCCTTTTCAATACCCAAGAATCCTAACCCGTAAGATTTCAACACTACTTTACTTACACAATCTCCGAAACTACTGCATTTAAAAAGAAAATCTACCCAAAACATAACTGGACTTCACCCCGTATAAAACGGTGATTCATGTTTCATATTCAATGCAAAAGCCAAGATGGAGTTGTAAAGAGTTTCTTTCCCATTTCAACTCCCGACAGCCACGCGCGCTTCGCAGGGACCGGCTGCACCGCGCGGTCGCCGGGCCCAGCTCGAAGCCCCCGCCCTGCCCCGCACGGCCGTGAGAGAGGAAGAGCCAGGGACCGCGGGCGGGCGTCTTGGGCTCCACCAGGCCTGGCCGGGCGGGGGAAGGGGCGCGGGAGGCCGCGGGGCGCGCTTCCGGGGACTGCGCGGGCGGGGCCGCCGCTCTGGGGAGCGGGGCCCCGGCCAGAAGGCTGGGGCCGGGGCCCAGGGGTAGCCGGCTGAGAGCAGCAGGTGGGGCGCGGCCGCGGCGGGGCGGCGGGCGGGCGGGAGGCCGGAAGAGCGGCGGGCGGGCCCGGGGCGCCGCGGCGCCAGGAGAGAACCCTCTCGGCTCACCTCAGGCGACGACTCGCAGTCCGGCCTCTCCGCGCCGAGTGCGCCTGTCCGCGAGTCGGAAGCTCGGAGACTGGGGCGGGTGGCTGAGAAGACCGCGGCGAACTAACGAGAGAACCGACGGAGGACGGCGGGCGGCGGGCGGGGAGCGCGAGCGAGGGCGGTCGGCGGCGGGAGGGCGGGGAGCGACGTGCGCGCCCCCGTGTGCCAGCGGGCTCGAGCCGGCCCCAGCCGCGGCCCCGCGCACGCGCGCACACTTACAGCTCAGCCACGATTGCTCAGGAGCGCGTCCACGCCCTAAAAGCAGGGCGCTTAACCAATCACTGCAGCCGCGTGGGGCATCACGGGAACTCCGGGGCTATAAAAGACCTGGTTGCTATTTTATGCTCCTCGTCTCACTCATCGTTTAAGTAAGCAGGGTGGGGCTAGGTGCGCGTGCGCGGTTTTAGTACTCCTCCCCAAACTGCCAACTCTTCGCGCAAGCGAAGTAGGCTCGCCTTGCCTGGTTTACGCGTGCGCATTAACGGGCCTGGCCCGGAAGACCAGACGCCTGCGCAGTGGGTGCTATAGTGACAGTCCCCCGGGTGGGGCATGGGCCAGTCATGGCGGAGCCTTGGTCTGGGCAGTCCTTACAGTCTCTGCCGACCTTGGTGCTGGGCACCCTGGGCACCCTGGGCAGCGAGTTCCTGCGGGAGTGGGAGGCGCAGGACATGCGCGTTACCCTCTTCAAGCTGCTGCTACTGTGGTTGGTGATAAGTCTCCTGGGCATCCAGCTGGCGTGGGGGTTCTACGGGAGCACGGTAACAGGGCTGTATCACCGCCCAGGTGAGGCTCCCCATCCCCACCGGACTGCATCATTGGGCTCCCCAGAACTCCCTAGACTACCACTGGTCTCCTAAGAACCTCATCACAACTTTATGCTCTACCCTGACCCATGCCAACATACCATTTCATGCCAGAAATCCCGGACCACCCATCACATTTTAACCGCTCCCTTGAACCTCCATCAGACAATACCATTAGTCCCTTTAAGGCCCCCACAAGACTCCATCAGACAACATCACTGGCCTTTAACTTGATCTGGGCTGATACCTGCTCAGATTCCCACCCCAAGCCTGCTGCAGCTCTGGATGTGTTCCTGCCCCCAGGTCTGGGCGGCCAGAACGGATCCACACCTGATGGCTCCACGCATTTCACTTCGTGGTAAGTAAATCTGTGCCCATGGCAACCCCATGCTTGGCAGGCAGAAGACACACCTATGCTGGGAACAGGGACAGGGCCAGGAAGTTCTCAGGGCAGGAGTCCACCAGTTTAGTGGCCTTTGCAGCAAGCTCCAAGGCTTGCAAGTAGAGCTCAGGCTTCGAATGATACCAATTTAACAGCCCATTGATAGGCTATTCAGCAACCTGTGGGGCTGGTGGTGCTACTGCCAAAATTTCAGAGATAAAGTAGCAGGTCTGTTGAGTTCAACTCTACTGCAAGCGCCTCAGTTTAGAAAGGCAGGAGGCTTTGTCCTTATTTATTTATTTATTTATTTATTTATTTATGATTTTATTTATTCATGAGAGACAGGCAGAGACACAAGCAGAGGGAGAAGCAGGCTCCATGCAGGGAGCCTGACATGGGACTTGATCCTGGGTGTCCAGGATCACACCCTGGGCTGAAGGCGGTGCTAAACCGCTGAGCCACCCGGGCTGCCCAGCCTTTGTCCTTATTGCATTGACTGGCCTCATCAGGGTCAGCCGCCTCATCTGTAAAACATCAACTCCCTAATCAAAAGAGCATTCATTCAACCAATTTCTGAGCTCCTACCATGACAGGGGCCACACTAGGTCCAGAGAACAAGGAACCCAGGCCCTTTACAGGGGGAGCCCAAGATTTAAAAAGGAGGGCAGCAAAAAAATAAAAAATAATAAAAGGAAAGGGTAGTAGAGCAGGGGGTGAGGGCAGTTTTCTCCCAAAACAGACAGCTAAGCCAAGGGCAAAGGCTAGGGAGTGCTTAAGTGTGCCAGGCAGAGAGAATGGATAGAACAAGACCCAGGGGAAGAACAAGGGTATCACATTGGAAGGATAGACAAGGCTGTGACACTATAGCTCAAACGTGAAGGCATGGAGGGACCACGAAACCTGACCTTAAATCTCAGGAAGCTATTAAAGGACTCAGCAAGGCTATGGTCTGATCAAACTTGCCTTTATAACTGCTGCTTTATGGCAAGAAGATGAAGGGGTCCAGTAGAGAAGGCAAGAGGCCAGTTAGGAGGCTGCCTGCCACTGCCCAGGGCCTGGGCAACTGGGATAAAGGTAGGCACTCCATAAGGTGAGGAACCAGAAGGAATAACATGTCAGCAGGAGAAAGGTGGGAGACTGAGTGGGCTGTGGGAACTCAGTAGAGAGGTCTAGATTGTAGTGTGGCCTTTCTGAGTCCACCTCAGCCCTTAAAAAGGCTAGAGAGAACCAGTTTCAGGGACTGTTAAGCTGCCTGTAGAATAATCCTTCTCTTCTCTCCATCACTTTTTAGGGAAACAGCAAATGAACCTCTCAAAACTCACAGAGAATAAGGGAAGGCAGCAGAGGGATCTCCAGGGACATCACCGGGTCTGCTGGTTCCCACACTGGGTTCTGCTGCTGCCCAGACCTGAGACGACGGCAGGGAGGTCAGGGTTGGGGGTAGGGAATACCCCAGTGCTTGCAGGCCTGGGCCTCCACTGCCCTTGGCCTTGTCTCCAGCAGTCCCAGGCATTGGACCAGTAAAGTTTGCCTCTACCCTGATCTGAGTGCCTTAAGGAGAGAAGGCATGTTCCTCCTCTCAGGGGTCAGCTCAGGAGAAGCCTCTGGGTTGGGGAGACCAACTGTCCATTTTCTTCCTTGGCTTTTTCCTGTCCCTCTTCTCATCCCCCTGGGATATGACCCCATAGAAATTTGTCCTGAGAGGAAACTTGAGGTTGACCAGCTCTGGGATTTGTAAAGGAAGCCTGTTTTCCCCTAAGCTCTGGGTTTCTTGAATGTTTGCTTCGTCGGCAGGAAGCCAGGGAATTCTGGACTGGACATGGCCTTATACTTTGTGGTTACTTAGCTGGCCATTCAAGAGTCAGGCGGGGGAGCTGGCACCATCCGGACACAGAGGCACCCAACACCCTCCTCCCTGGCCCATCCAAAGCTTTCCAGGTGTGAGTCAGACTGTAGAAATGGTCTTTTTACTGAATATCAATTCATACACCTCTCAATTCTTATGGGAAACTGGGTGCCTAAAAGAGGCTGAGCCCCAGGGAGTGACCTTCCACCCCCAACTGTTTTAAGTACCCATGAGATTGTACCCTGCCCCCTCACAGGGAGACACTAAGCAGTAATGTGGAGTGGCCCTGCCCCACCATGTCCTGCAGCTTCATTGGTTCCCATCTTGACCAGGAACCACATAAGCTTCATCCTAAGAGGCACAGGCTCAGCAACTCTCTACTAGCACCATCTCAGCCCCCAAGAACTCTCAACAGGGAAGAGCCATAGGCCGCCATTTAGACAGTGGGCCAAGGGAGCTTCCAAATGTGTGAATGGTACATGCCAGTTTCTGAAAACAGCATAACCCTAGAATTGTCTCCTTTCCTAACCCTAGAATTGTCTCCTTTCCTGAAGGCTGTATTCCTGCTTCTGCTGGGCCATCACTTACCTCAGTGTCCTGTCGCTGCTTCTCTAGTAGAAGTCACATTTGTATCTGTCAGCCTTTGGATGGGCCACCTTGACAGCAGAAGTGCACTGGAAGTAGGACTACACTGAACTGATGGATGTGTACCTATTCCAGAGCTATCTTCTGGCTGATAGGATGGCGGTTTTGCACCCCAGCCCTATCCATTGACACCACCACACAGAATCAGGGTCTCACATTTCACCCCAGGTTCAACTGAGGATGTGGTTTATTAAACATGGAAGCGCATCAGCTGTGTGATTATTCAGACAGGACAAGGGTGTGCATGCACAGGGGGAACATTAAGGGGTACTGCGCCTCAGTACCCAGAATGTAATAACTTGCAGAGGTGGAGAGGTGAGGCCAGCTCCCTAGAGGAGCAGCAATGGATGCCCCAACACAGAGGGGCACTATCCTTGTTAAGTTTTTAGACCTGCCCTTCTCAAGGGGAACCCACTCTGAGCTTGCCTCAGAGGCCAGGCAAGCAGGCATTGAGCTGGCACCCCAGGAACCATGTAGACAAAGGACAATGAAGCTAGATTGGCAAGCAAGAAGGAAGCTTGTTTAATGTTTTTGTTTTTTTTTTTTTTTTTTTTTTAGGAGTGAGTGGAGTCCACTAATGGGCCCCAGGGGCAAAGGTCAGCCCAGGGTAAGGCAAGTCCAGGAGGCCCAGCCTGTCCTACAACAGCCCTGGGGCTCAGAACAGGTGGTGAGCCTGGCATGGTTGCTACTGGGCAGCAGGCTGGGCTAACTTGGGAATGTGGAAGAGTGAGTCTGTGCTCCTCAGCTGTCCCCAAGTTTACATAGGCACAGCAGCCAGACAGGGCCAACCCTCAGTGAGTCAGGAATCATTCCTGCCCAGGGAGAGGCAGCAGTTTGCATTCGTGCAAAGTAAACTGAAGGAGACATCCGGCACTACCCACGGTAATAACTCCTTTGCAGTGTGAGAAACCATGGTGAGGTAGGTCGGGCAGGCTTTATTCCCCCCATCCCCCAAAGTGAGCTACTACTCCACAGCCAGCCCTGGCACAGTGGAAGGGGGAGATGCCAGAACGACAGTGTCCCATAGCCTCCTGGCAGACAGACCAGAAGGGGGTCACTGGGAGCCCAGGCTGACATTGCAGCAGCCGCTCTCTTGCTCAGAAATGGGGTCTTGAAAAAAAAAAAAAAAAAGGAAGAAATGGGGTCTTGAAATTAAAGAAGCCTAGGATGAGGGTGGGAGTGAGAATAGGTGGTATGGGCCCCCCCTTGACCAGACAACCAGAACCAACCTCCACCCTAGCCCCCCCAGTGTATTCAGCCTCAGCTTCCTGACCAACCCTTATATGCCCTACAGGTCCAGGTTCCTGGATGGGAGAGCCCCTGCCCCAAGCCACTTTCACTTGAGGGTATAGTAATTTGTGGTCACAAAGGGCATCTTGCTGACCACAGCCATTTGCTGCTTCCGCCGCACCTCTACCAGCAGTGGGGTACCTGGCCGACTGTACTCAGAGGGCACATAACCCATGGCCACATTCTTCTTCAGACAGGGAGAGGGGCAGCCACTGGTCACTGTACCTGTGTGGGCAGATGCCATAGGTCAGCACCACTCTGATGCCCACCCTCTGGTGGGGGGAGGAACAACAGCTCCCCAACCTCTCTGGTCCACCTACCAATCACGGTGCCCTCCATATTCAGGATGGGGCTGTGTGCCCGCACAGGTGCCCCCTCGCATGTTAACCCCACACGTCTCCGCTGCACCTTGCCCTTCAGCTGGGCAATGATGACCGAGGCTCCAGGGAAGTCCATGGCAGCTCGGCGGCGCTTCCCTGAAGCATGACACCCCAGGATTAGCTATAGTCCATAAGACCCCTGGCCCTAGGAGGTCCTAGTTACAAGGACCCCAAATAACATCCATCCAGCAGTGAGGCCCCTTTGCTCAGGTTCTCCCAAGCCCCATTCCTCCCTTTACTGCAGTCGGCCACCCACCTCTTGCCCCAGGTCTTAAAAGAGGCTGTGCTGCCCACCTCAGCCTGCTGAAGATCCTCAGCGTCTAATGGGCAAAGTCACAATGGCATCTTCAGGGAAAGGAGGCTTGGGGAGGCTGCGTCATTTGCTCCAGGGTGCACACCCTTGGAAGCAGTCAAGGGCTAGCCACTGCAGCTTTTGCGATTCTATCCCTGAGTGCCAACCCAACTCACCCAGTGTCCAACTAAGGCTGCCTTCCACAGGCGTGGTGTGCTCATCAATGTCACTCCCATACAGGCAGAGGCCTGCCTCTAGGCGCAGGCTGTCCCGAGCTGCCAGCCCTGCCAGCTTCACCTCTGGGTTTTCCAGCAGAGCTGCAGCCAGGCGGACTGCCGCTGCTGCTGGCACCGAGATCTGTATGGGACACCAGTGAGGAGGTAAGCAACTAGCTCTGGAGTCCTGGGCCGCACACTACCCTAACTCCCACTTCTTGACCTACCTCCACACCATCCTCTCCTGTGTAGCCACAGCGGGTCACGCGGCAGCCGGACACACCAAACACCTCCATCACAGCACTGGTCATGAAGGGCAATTTCCTCAAATCATCTGCCACGCCGGCCTGCAACACCTGGGTCGCAGTGGGGCCTGGGCCCAGGGAGCCAGTGACCAAGCGTCCAGGTCCCCATTTCCCCTCAAAGCTGGACCAGAGCCCTTACTCGGGCCAGAATAAGCCCTGAGCAAGTCCTACTTTGCAGGTGGGAGAAGATGGTCTTGCCCACAGCCCCTGGGCCTTACAGCAGGTGGAGGGAGTGCCTATTTCCAAACTTAACAATTATGGCACACAACTACTACACCATCGACACCTCCCTCCTAGAATGGCCAGTGCTAAGCAGTCAAAAAAGCCAGCAAGGCAAAGGTCGGCTCCAACCCCAGCCTGGCCTGCTCACCTTGCAGGGCTAGCAAGGCATTATCCACCACCTCCAGGCTCACATCACTGCCCATGTTTTGAAGTTCCCTGACCTTGCCCTGAAAGGAAAGACAGAAGAAACATATCAGCTTCTGGGACCGCTTACTGAGCACCTACTGTGGGCTGAGAGCTGAAGATTTAGGCAGAATAAGCTGGTTCCTATCTTACAAGGTCCTATAACTAAGTGGTAGGAACAACCCCAGCTCAGGTCTGCGAGTGTTAACATCAGGCTCCAGCCTCCACCTTCTCACTTGGGAGCCAGGACCAGTTTCACCTTCCCTATTCTCCCATCACTGAAACCTGGCATTCTTCACGGAGGGCCCACTCTGGCCTGCTGTTCATTCACTCAAAGAGACATTGTCTGAGCCCCTTTACCCTGCCAGGTCTGTCCTAGACAACAAAGATGCTGTTCTGTGAACAAAGAAGACAGGGTACCTAGAACACAGAAGGGCTGTACCTGCATGAGGGCCAAGTCCTTGTCCCAGCAGCCAGCATTAGACACCACATACAGGTACCCCTCAGAGGTGCTGGTCACAATCAAGTCATCTTCGATGCCTCCAGCCTCATTGGTAAACAGCGACAGTGTCCCCTAGTGCCAAAGTGGAACATCTTTGCTTCCAGGTTCAGGAGGCCCAGGTCAAGTATGAGTTAGACACACCCCTGGGGCTACTAATTAATGAACCCTCAGGCAACGGGATGGGGGGGGTGGAGAACAAGGCTAGGTAAGCCCAGGCCCCTGCCCAACCCCAGGGTTTTTTTTAATCTTCCTACACTGAGAAAGTTTTCACCCCTTTCCCATCTTGTTAGACCTCCCTGATTTGGTGGGGCCTCTGCACTTCTCCCCACTCAAGTACTGAGAGACCCACTTCACATTTAATTCAGGACTCCTAGGCCTTGGTGCTTCATCCCACCCAGACCTCAGACAACTTAGTCCATGCCCCAAACCCCAAGACAAACTTCAAAGTCCATTGATGATCCCATAAATGCCACAGCAATACTTCAAAATACTGGGGGGCTGGCTTCACAGCCTCCCCACTGGATGGACAGAGCCTGAGATTGAAAGGTCACATGGATCACCTGGGTATTTGTTTAAAATGTAGGTTCTGATTCCACAGGTCTGGAGCAGGGCCTGAGAGTATATTCCTAACAAGCTCTTGGTGATGAGACTGCTGGTTTAGGGACTACCTTTGCATTGCAAGAGGTTTGGCAGCATGGAGGTCACAATACAGGACATAAACCTGAGTCTCGGGGTAGCCCTGGTGGCGCAGCGGTTTAGTGCCGCCTGCAGCCCGGGGTGTGATCCTGGAGACCTGGGATCGAGTCCCACATCGGGCTTCCTGCATGGAGCCTGCTTCTCCCTCTGCCTGTGTCTCTGCCTCTCTCTCGCTCTCTCTGAATGAATAAATAAATAAATCTTAAAATAAATAAATAAATAAATAAACCTGAGTCTCTGGCTTCCCAGCCTGATGTGGCTAAGGACAGAATAAACCTCTCCCTGCAGATAACTAGACGTCTAGACATGACTCAGGGACCCCCATCTCCCAAGACTGCAAGCCCTGAGCAGCTGTGTCTGATCCATTGCTGTGCCCCCACCATTCCCATTGCTGGCTCAAGAATAAGAACACCCACTGAGCAGAAATACAAGAGAGAAGAGGGGCCCACCTGGTTTGGCCTTAGCTCTGCAATATCTCCAACCACTAGACTCTCCATCAGCTTCACCCGGTCACAACCAAGTATCTTGGTCTGGGAAAGAGATCAAAAACCTCAGGCCACTGGGCAGGAGGCATCCTCCCTGCTGTCCACAGTCCAGTCCAACCCAGCCAAAATGCCTGAGCAGTCCTTTGATTCTGCAAGTGGCAGAGCCCTACCTTCTGATTCCCACCTCTGCCAGTACAGAAGAGGGTGAAATGGGGGAAGTTCGGGAACTTGAAAGGGCCCGGCACCATCCTGAAATACCCCCATTTCCAAACCAACACCCAGGAGAGTCGATGGGAGTGGGTGCCAGCCCTGGGGAACCTGGGACATAAAGGCACACCACTGAGTAGGAGCAGACTGAAAAGACTAAAGAGACAACCAAGAGACCCTCTGAGTTAACTTCCTGGGAGCCATAGTCTACAACACCTAGACCTCCACCTCTTCTGGGAGGGTGGCTCTTGGAATCCAGCTCCCAACAAAGCCAAGAGTTGCACCACTGTAGATGGGAAGCCCTGATCTAGCAAACAGTGTGCTCCCCTTGCTCACCTGCAGCATGTGGGACACGTCAAAGAGCGAGCAGTGCCGGCGTGTGTGCAGGTGTGAGTCAACATGACTGTCCCGGTACTGTACAGGCAGACTCCAGCCTGCAAACGCCACCATCTTCCCGCCATGAGCCAGGTGGAAGTCATAAAGAGGTGTCCTTCGGAGTACGTCCTGCGGGTGGCTGGGTTCAGGGCCACCAGTGTCCCGGCCTCCACCCTCCTCCCTCGCCCACCTCCAAAATCGGCACCATGCCCCATCACCCTCTATCCCACCTGTGCGCGACTGAGCGGACGGCCCAGGGCCAACGGGAGCGCCTGCAGCCGCAAGCCCAGATGGGGTACCACGGTCATTGCCCGCTGCATTGTTGCCCACAACCGGTGCAGCCGGCACACAGAGGTTACCACTCTGCCAGGCACGCTGGGAGATGTAGTCCGGGCTCTGCTGGGATAGGTCACTCTCCCACAAAGGGGATTTGAAGGGGCGGGCAGCCCCAAAGGCAGGCAGCCCCAAGGGCAGGCGGGGCTTTCGAGCAGTGGACAGTGACTCCAATCTGTAGGGAAACAGCCCCAGGCACTTCAAGTTGATCTTCCAGGGTAGATTAGGCTGTCCAAACCAGTTAAACTGCTCAGAAACAGAGCTAGGGGCTAGACCTCCCCTTGCTGACTGCTCTGCCTCCAAAAGGTCGAAGTTCTATAAAAGGCCAAAAGGCCTGAATTGCACATTCAGGACAGCAGGAGTGTAAGGTCACAGGAGGGGGAGGGGTGGAGAGGTTGCTGGAGGGTGGATCCAGCCGGCATGCCGAGCACATCAGTAATCTGGCCTCTGGTGAGGGTCTCGGGCTCTCCCACTGGGAGGACACAGGCAGCCAGCAGTCATGCATTCCACAAGTATTTATTGATCTTGCTGCACACTAGGCCCTGTGCTGGGTATGAATGAAGCACAGTTCCTGCCACTCCCCCAAGGTCCTCCTCTCTCTCTCTCTCTCTCTCTCTCTCTCTCTCTCTCTCTCACACACACACACACACACACACACACACACACACACTCTGAGGGCTGCTACTCCCTGAGCACAGGATTATGGTCATTACCCTTTTAGCAAAAGCTGAATGGGGTAAATAAATGACCCTGCAGGCAAAGATAACACCTGCAAGAACTCTGATAGATAAGAGCAGAGGGTAGTCACCAAAAGGTGGCTGACCTTCCTCCAGAAAGCTGTTGAGCCACACAAATGTCCAATTTTCCAGGTCTAGCACAGGTTGCAGTACTGCTACATCGCAGCTCCCTGGGGCAAAGCCAGGAAAAAAACTTAAAAGATTTTCTAAGAGCAGCCTGCTTTATTCCACAGCAGGCCTGGGGTTGTAGTAGATGTCAGTCTCTTAAAGGACACCAATGAGAATGCTCACCTGGACCCACACCCTACCAAGGTTGATCTTTTATCACACTGAGCATGACTCTTGGAACATGGCAGCTGGGAGAAGGGACAAGGATGTGCTTTAGACAAAAAGGTCCCAGGACTCATTATCAGATGCCAGCCTTGCCGGAGGCACCTGTCCAGGCTGGATGGGTAGACCCATTGAACACACACCCAGAAGCCAGCTCAGGGACCAAGGGGCTCAGGCTGCCCAAATCCCCAGCTTTGCTCCCTAGGCAGGCAGGAAGTAAGACAGGAAACAACTTCTTATGGGCATAACACAAACGGAAAGAAGACCACTAGAGGGCGCAGAAGGAAGAAATGGGCTCCGGTTTTCCCCTCACACTTCAAACTACTTGAGTGCCATGGCTACAGCAGCCTTCCAACAATAGTTAGAGCCGGTTTAGTAGGTGCAACCCACTGCACTCAGGGTGAAGGAGCAGGCAGGAGACTGGAGTGTGCATGTTGGCAGAAGGAGCAGAGGGGATTCTTAGTAAGTAGAACTGGAGTGTTTTTAGGGTAGGAAAAAGAATTTCAGCTTGCAGTCAGATTAAGACAGAGTACACCCCTGCCAAGAGCTCATGCTGAAGCAACACAGCCCCCAAGAATCTTGAATCTGTGAATGTGGCCCAGACATAGTGGGCTTGCAGGCAACACTCGGAATGCACAGGGAAAGCACTTCAGCCTCTGGTGGCCCAAATCAGGTCTGGGTGGACACGGAAGGCCAACATCTTGGCTAAGAGACATAGTTCAAGTGTAGGAGAGCAAGTTGAGGTCATAACAGCCATCCACCTGCAACACAAAAGACCATCAGATCTGACCCACTCAGGGCAACAGGAATGAAACAGAGGGAAGCGATCACTCACATCAAAGCGGCCGATCCTTGTAGAGGTGTGACTGGCCCGGATCATCTCTGTCAGCGCCCACATCTGCTGCACCTCGGAGGATACCCTGTTGGGGTCTGGGAGACCCTGCTCCAGAAGGAGGGGTCAGTGGCCATGGGTATCTCCCCAGCAATGCCCTTAAAGCTCCAGAGAAGCCAAGTTGGGCTACGGGGCCCTCCAGCTGACACTAGTAACATTCCCAGATGACTTGTTAAACATGACGTTGGAGCCTCATCTGCAGTAGGCAGCCCAGCCTCACTCAGAGATACCTCAAATCCCATGGACCACCCAAGATGGCACAGAGTAAATGAAGGGCCCTGGGTCCAGCCCTAGATTCTTGCAGAAAGAGGCCCACCTGGGCCTGTGCTGGACACAAGAGCTTTTTATACATGGTTCTTACTCACAATGAGGGCTTACCTCAATGAGGGGAGCAGGCTGCTCACAAGGCACTGGGTGGGAGAGCCACTTGGGGAAGGTCATGGAGGGGCTCTGCAAAACAAAGGCAAACTGCCCTAAAGGAGGCAGAGTGGGAAAGCCCTAGAACCAGATTCCAAGGTCCTTGGAGCAGACAGAAGGGCACCTGAGCCTCAGACACTGAGAAAACCCTGTTCAGGGGTCCATGCGGTCCAAGGGGCAGTCAGATTACCTAAGAGCTAGAGACTACATAAACTCTTCTGCTATGCGGGAGGCCCCAGGAACACAAGGAACGGAAGTGTCTCCCAGCACCTGAAGGCTCAAGCTCTGAGAGAGGCAGGTGGATATGGGGACATGACCTTACCTCTCCTGGCTAACTTCCCTCCTGGCTAATTTCCTTCTGAGCATTCCCTCCTGGCTAATTTCCCTCTGAGTCTTACCGTTCACTCCCTCTCCTACCCCAGCATTCCCAGCCATAGCCCCACACCCAGCATTCCCTTTCATAGCAACAGCTCTGAGCTGGTCACCTACCTTTGGTCCCTGCTGGTAAATCTGCAGTTCCTCCACTGTGAAAGACAGCCATAGTGGTGATGGCTGTCGCAGAATCAGGCGCAGTTCCAGTACTCTGGCCATGTCACACAGCATCTGACATATACAAACACACACACACACACAAGGACCCAGCAAGGCCCTAGCTCACTGCCCAAGAGCCTCCCAACCAGCAATAAGCCAAGATGCTGCCTCCCCAGGCCTTAATCTCTCCAAGGCACAAGCCCAGGCCAGCCTCCCCTCCCCTCTTCCCTCCTGGTATCCTGGCCCAATCCCTACATCCCCTGTGAGCCCTTATCTGGACTTCCCTAGCCATGCTGAGTCCCAGCTGACCTGATGCTTGAACAACGATACATACTCCTGGGCTCCCTCTTCACTGTGTGGATCAGGCATGAGGCAGTAGTCCCGCAGGCAGGTCACCCACTTGGCTGGTGTGTGTGTTGAGGTATGCTGGCGAACACGGATGCTCAGAAAGGCTGTGTAGTAATTCTTAAACATTATCTCCTGTAACTAGAGCACACACAACCTACCATGACAAATCAGAACCAGGCCCTGGGCCTGAGAAGTTCAAACCTACCATCTCTTCCTCCCCTTGGGAAAGTACTCTTCTGGGATACCTGAGTGGCTCAGTGGTTAACCATCTGCCTCCACTCGGAGCATGATCCTACAGTCCCGGGATCGTGTTTCCACATCAGGCTTCCTTCATGGAGCCTGCTTCTCCCTCTGCCTGTGTCTCTGCCTCTCTGTGTGTGTGTGTGTGTCTCTCATGAAGAAATAAATAAAATCTTAAAAAAAAAAAAAAGGGAAAGTACTCTTCTACCAATCGAACAATTTCAACAAGCGCCCACTGGGCCCAAAGACAATTTCCCTTTCCTAGAAGAGCTCACAGCCCAAATGAGCAGGTCATGCAAATAAACCATGACCGCAGGTCTTGGCACAAGTCTAAGATGCTGGGCCATCTGGGTGTCTCAGTGATTGAGTGTCTGCCTTTGACTCAGATAGTAATCCCAGGGTCCTAGGATCAAGTCCCACATCAGGCTTCCCACAAGGAGCCTGCTTCTCTCTCTGCCTATGTCTCTGCCTCTCTCAGGAATAATAAACAAAATCTTAAAAAAAAAAAATCTAAGAGGGTCCCAGAGGTTAGAACCCTAACTTTGGAGGAGGCAGAAAATATACAGATGAGGCCTCAAGAAGGAGGAGTTCACCAAGTGGAACGGGAAAGAGTATAAAAGTAACATAAGCAAAGGGACACCAAAGGTTGAGAGAACTTGGCCCACCCTGGAAACAGCAGTGATTCGGCCTGGCTACAGCAATTCTCATTCCTGAAGACTCACCAGAATCACCCAAACAAGTTTTTTAAAAACTATAAATGTACAAGTTTCACCCTAAACCTACTGAATCAGTATTTACAGGTTGGGAGCTTTAGTGAAGATTCCCAGCTTATGGTAAGGAACAACTTGAAGGATGATCACACACCATGGGACAAAGTGCATGGGGTCAAGAAGCAGGCAGGGCACAGGCCTAGAGTGGCCCCAAATGCCAAGCCATTAGAATGTGGACTTTGTCCTCTGTGCTGAGGTCTTGTAGTGTCGGTCACTCTGCCAGCACATGTGGACCAGCAACTGGAGACTGGAAACTGGAAACACTGAAATGATCCTGATGAGGAAGGAGCTGAACCTGACCTCCAGCAGGGACTGTAGGGAATGGGCAGGAGGCAGGTTTTGGGGTAACTCATTGTCCAGTGATTCCCCAGCCCCTGGGCCAAGAACAAAATGACCTTTCACCTCTCTTTAGTAGACAACTGTATTTCCAGCATCACCCTATTATCTTAGCACTTGTATGCCAGCTCTGTCCTGGACATGGGGGAGAGATGCTGAAGAGAATACCACAGAACGCTGCATTCTAGTAAATATGTGTTAACTGAGGTAATAAATAAATGGTAAGCTCATTTGCAAGGGCGAGGACACTGCAGAGGCTTTCGGTAAAAGATTAAATGCCTGGGATACGCCCGAGTTCCCAGGTCAGCCCCGCCCAGGAGCCCCGGTCGCGCCCACGGGTCTGGCTCACCTCAAAGGGCGCGACGCTGGGGAAGGTGACATCGATGACCAGCACACCAGGCCGGCCTTGGGAGGTTCGCACGTCGCCCACCTGCAGGGCCACGGTACCTTTCACATGGCAGGGCACCGACACGCGGGACATGTTGTCAGCAGCCTCGACCAAGCCCAACTGCTGCTCCTGGCCTCGGACTACGGGTCCTTCCCGGCGTCCTCAGCAGAGTCCCCAAGAACTACAACTCCCAGAAAGCCTCGCGCTGGGCCAGCCCGGCCAATTACTGATGCCCCAAGCCGGCCGGGAGTCGGAAGTGGTTGAGGAAGGGTTCTTTCAGCCAATCTCAGCGCGAGCCTTCAGGAGCCTTGGGCCCTGCCCAGAAATTTCCGAGCCATTCCGTGTCTGAGCGATCCTGGCCCCTCACCGTCTGTTATGCTCCGTTATTACACCTGTGCAGGACGGTCGTTAGTTAAAGCATATCATGCCCTGAGCACTAATGAGCATAGTGCCCGGCAAACATTAATTGCAAAAATAGGTATGAACACCCCCTTTTTTTAAAAAAATGGACAAAGGATTTGAACAGACAATTCACAAAAGAATATAAATAGCCAATAAACCCATGAAAAGATGCTTAATGTGATTATTCCTCAGGGAAGTTCAAATTAGAATTCGCACAACCCCACTGAAGAGGCTGAAATTAAAGACTGGGAAGGATGTGGAGTGCCTGGGACCTTAATCCACTTATAATTTCCAGCTATTTTGAAAAAGTTTGGCATTTCTTTAAAAACCAAATTCATACCTACGATATGATTCATCCATTATACTCCCAAGTATTTACCCAAGAGAAATGAATGCATAGGCCCGCTCAAGGACTTTGTTCACAATAGACAGAAATTGGAAATAATCCAAATGTCCAAGAGATGAACAGATAAACTGATTGTGGTGTATGGAATGCTGCTCAGCAATAAAAAGAAATAAACAAATCCAAATATCTATCAACATATGAATGGGTAAACAGAGCCTGGTATATACATGCAATTAATTACTCAGCCTTAAAGATGAATGAAACTCTAATAAATGCTTTAGCGTTAACATTGAAAATATAGGGATCCCTGGGTGGCACAGCGGTTTGGCGCCTGCCTTTGGCCCAGGGCGCGATCCTGGAGACCCAGGATCGAATCCCACATCGGGCTCCCGGTGCATGGAGCCTGCTTCTCCCTCTGCCTGTGTCTCTGCGCCTCTCTCTCTCTCTGTGACTATCATAAATAAATAAATAAAAAATTAAAAAAAAAAAACATTGAAAATATCACGCTGGGCTGCCTGGGTGGCTCAGTGCTTGGGTGGCCCGCCTTCAGCCTGGGGTGTGATCCTGGAAACCTGGGATCGAGTCCCACATTGGGCTCCCTGCATGGAGCCTGCTTCTATCTCTGCCTGTGTCTCTGGCTCTCTCTGTGTGTGTCTCTCATGAATAAATAAAAATCTTTAAAATAAAAAAAGAAAATATCATGCTAAGTGAAAAAAATAGACATGAAGGACAAATATTATATGATCACACTTACATGAGGTACTTAGAATAGGTGAATTCATAGAGACAGAAAGTAAAATAGAGGTTGCCACGACTAGGGGTGAGGGGAAATAGTGATATTGTTTAACAGGTATAAAGTTTGTGTTTAGGATGATGAAAAAATTTCTGGAAATAGTAGTGATGATTATACAACACTATTAATATACTTAATGCTGGGCGTCTGGGTGGCTCAGTTGGTTGTGTCTGACTTTGGGGTCCTGGGATCAAACCCTGCATTGGCCTCCCTACTCAACAGGGAGTCTGCTTCTCCCTCTCCCTCTGCTCCTTTCCTCTGCTTGTGTTCTCTCTCTCAAATAAAATAATAATAATAATAATAATATGCTTAATGCCACTGACTTCTACACTTACAATGAGTAAAATGGTAGATATTATGCATATTTTAACATTTTTTTAAGGGCAGCCCTGGTGGTGCAGCCGTTTAGCGCCACATGAAGCCCAGGGTTTGATCCTGGGGAACCTGGATCGAGTCCCATGTTGGGCTCCCTGCATGGAACCTGCTTCTCCCTCTGCCTGTGCCTCTACCTCTCTCTCTCTCTGTGTGTCTCTATGAATAAATAAATTTTTTTAAAAAAATAAAAAGGAGGGGATCCCTGGGTGGCGCAGCAGTTTGGTGCCTGCCTTTGGCCCAGGGCGCGATCCTGGAGACCCGGGATCGAATCCCACATCAGGCTCCCGGTGCATGAAGCCTGCTTCTCCCTCTGCCTATGTCTCTGCCTCTCTCTCTCTCTCCCTGTGTGACTATCATAAATTTAAAAAAAAATTAAAAAAATAAAAAGGAATGAATAGTATGCACACCACCACCACTAAATCTCAAATGTGCTAAATTAAGCAAAAAATGTCAGACCCCAAAGAGTACATACTGTATGATTCCACTTACATGAAAGTCTAGAAAAGACAAAACTAATCTATAGTAAAATTAATAAGAACAGTTTTTCCTGAGGCAGAGAGTGAAGGGAAGGATTTGATTATAAAGAAGAACAAAGGTATACTTTGGGGTGATGGGAAGGCTCTAAAACTTGATTGTGTGGGCAGCCTGGGTGGCTCAGAGGATTAGCGCCTGCCTTTGGCCCGGGGTGTGACCCTGGATTCCCAGGATCGAGTCCCATTTCGGGCTCTCTGCATGGAGCCTGCTTCTCCCTCTGCCTGTCTCTGTGTCTCTCATAAATAAATAAATAAAATCTCTAAAAAAAAAAAGAATAATAAAACTTGATTGTGGTGATAGTTATATTTGTCTAGACAATTGTCAAAATTTATTAAATTGAATGCTTAAGATTTGTGAATTTTTTAAGATTTTATTTTTTTAATAAAGATTTTGTTTATTCACAAGACACACACACACACACACACACACATAGAGAGAGAGAGAGAGAGATACAGGCAGAGGGAAGCAGGCTCCCTGCAGGGACCACACCCCAAGCTATAGGCGACACTCAACCTCTGAGCCACCCAGGTGTCCCCAAGATTTTATTTTTTAAAGTTTTTATTTATTTGACACAGAGGAAGACAACACAAGCAGGGGGAGTGGCAGGCAGAGAGAGAGGGAGGAACAGGGGAGCCCAATGAGAGGCTCAATCCCAGGATCCTGGGATCATGACCTGAGCCAAAGACACAATCAGTTAACTGAGCCACCTAGGCGTCCCTAAAGATTTTATTTTTAAGTAATCTCTACACCCAAGATAGGACTCAAACTCACAACCCCGAGATCAAGAATCACATGTTCTACTGACTGAGCCAGCTAGATGCCCCCAAATTTTTGCATTTTTATTGTATCTAAATTACACCTCAATAAACATGATTTTAAAAAAAGATTTTATCCATTGATTCATGAGAGACACAGATTGAGAGGCAGAGATATAGACAGAGAGAGAAGCAGGCTCCCCGCAGGACCCCAGGTCCTGGGATCCCAGGACCCCAGTATCATGACCTGAGCTGAAAGCAGACGGTCAACCACTGAGCTGCCCAGATGCCCAATAAACATGATTTTATTTTTTTTAAGATCTTATTTATGTATACATGAGAGAGGCAGAGAGAGAGGTAGAGACACAGGCAGAGGGAGAAGCATGCTCCTTGCAAGGAGTCCAATGCACGACTTGATCCCGGACCCTAGCATCACTCCCTAAGCCGAAGGCAGATGCACAAATGCTGAGCCACACAGACGTCCCAATAAACATGATTTTAAAAGAAAAAAAGAGCAAAACAAAACAAAATAAAAAATTAATGCTAATCATTACAAAAATGGTAATCAAACAAAAAATGAATGTTTATCATCATCCTCCTCCTTCCAGGCACTTGTGGAAACAATGCCACAGAGGTCATTAGTTAAGCCTGTTTATTTATAACAAAGCTGAGACCAGAAGTGGTCCTAAGTGATTTCCTAAGCCAATAAAGCAGTATGGAGTAAAGCTGGAACCAGGGCCTCTTTTGGGCTCCTTCTTCACAGGTCAGAACCCTCCAGGTAATGGTCAGCATTGGTGACCTGGGCCTTCTTTATGTTGAGGAACCCAAAGACACAGGCCCAGTGTAACCCATAGAGCTCTCAGAGTGGAGTTGGAATATCATATCAGTCAGATACAGAACCAGGATTCCAGGCCAGCCTAAGGAACAGCCTGGTACACTTGTGCCTTCCCAGTCCAGGTGCCCCCAGAGACTCCTAGTGACAGAAGACATCCCCTGTCTTCTCATTGGCTGTTGTATAGGGAAAATAATTTATATCTGTGGGTCTTCTGGACTGGCCATTGCTATCTCCATTTGAACTCAGACTAATGATTCACAGTCTGGGTCCCTCCAGGTTCCTGAGAGTTTCCTCTTCATGAAAATCACCTCATGCTGGAGCAGTGACTTCTCCAAATCCCAGATTTTAGGTCCCCTGGAAATCTGGAGGATACACACAGGCTCTGGGCTTCAGGATTCAGATCTGAAAGCATAGTCACAGTGCCACCAGCTAGAACCTCAAGACTTGACCTTTATTGCTCACCTGTTAATACCCACTGACTTTTGTCCCACATTTCCCCCTAAACTCTCCTTTCCAGCTTATCTCTTAGCTCAGGCAAAAGACCCCATGGGTGCAGCATCCTGTAATGGAAACCAAAACTACCCCTCAAGCAATAATAACTGCCTAAATGAAGTGTTCTGGCAGCCCAGACCACCCAGACGAGTTTGAGCTTAACCCTTGACTCATGCCTGGGCAGATGGACCATGGAGAGACCCGTGGACTCACTGACGGTTACCTTTATCTCATCATAATACTAAAGTCTCCACCCAAGGAGAAGCACAAGCCTTGTTTATATAACATACAAAGTATGTATACGGGTGTTTCCTTAAGGCACATACATGACCTTATGCCCACTTTTACATATGATAAGGCTCCCATTTCTTTTCCTTCTCTCTCTCTCTTTTTTTTTTTAAAGTTTATTTATGTATTGTTTTTAGTAATCTCTACTCCCATTGTGGGGCTCAAACACCTGGGACACCTGGGTGGCTCAGTGGTTGAGCGTCTGCCTTTGGCTCAGGACGTGATCCTGGAGTCCCGGGATTGAGTCCCACATCAGGCTCCCCTGCTTGGAGACTGCTTCTCCCTCTGCCTGTGTCTCTGCCTCTCTCTGTGTGTTTTTCTCATGAATAAATAAATAAAATATTAAACATACACACA